TTTTTTTTTTTTTTTTTTTTTTTTTTTTTTTTTTTTTTTTTTTTTTTAATTTAAGGAGAGCTGGACAGCTCTCGCCAGCCTTCACCCAGCGCCTACTCCGTGTCTGGCCCCAGGCCACGGTCAGGCGGGCCCCGGCCCTTGGGGGAATGAGGCGACGCCGAGCGGCGGGGAGGAGGCTGGGGTTTGCCGGGGCCGCGCCGGGGTTCCTGCAGGCCGGGGACGGCGGGCCTGCTGGAGGACTGACCTTCCCGGAGGTGCCATCCCCCAGCACGACGATTTTCAGTTGCCGGTCCTGGCTCTCCTCCTCAGAGTCCGACATGGTGTCCCGGGAACCAGGCCCGCTCCCCCACCCCCACCCCGAGGTTGGAGGGAGGAAGGGGAGGAGGGGGTCTCCGGGGGCGGGGGAGAGGAGGAAGGGCGGCAGTGGGGGCAGGACCCCCCGCCCCGGTGTCTCAGCGGCGGCTGGACGTATCTGAGCTGAATCACTCGCCGGGCGCCATCTTGCCCGCCTCCCCGCCCCCGCGCGCCGCCCCGCCCCCCACGCGCTACGTCGGTCGCGCCCCCCCCTCCTCTGCGCCAACCCGCGCGGACGCGAGCCTCCCTAGCAAGCCGGCCCATTTGCGGGCCTGCGATGGGGGAGGCGTTCGAACTGAGCAGGCGAGACGGGCGCTACTCTCGAAGAGGCAGCTGTGAAGAAGAAAAACAAAATACATCATTCAAATCAGGTGGGGAAATGGGAACCCTGTAGCATTCAGGCGTTCTACCATATTCCCGTGTTTCCATCACCCCCTGTGAAGGTCCCTGAAGTGAATGGTTTAGCTGGAGGGGGGGCGTTGACGCCTGGGCTGCGCGCCACGGTTGCCATGGAAGCCGGGGGTTGGAGAGGCGGTGGGGCGGGGCCTGTCTCCGGGCGCCCTGCAAGCCGGTTGCCAGGCGCAGCGCACAGGGGAGGGGCCCCTGGCGCGGGCAGAGGCGCCGGAGGTCGAGCCTCGGGAGGGGCGTGGGCGCCGCCGAGGTTGCCGAGGGCCGTTCTGCCTGCGGGCGAGCCCCCGTAGTGGCCTTCAGTTTAACGGAGTTCTGGCGCTGCCTCTGTTTTGACCTGTCAAACCATGGGTTCTCGCGACAGAACAACAGAATCCGATGGTCCATTCATCAAGCAAGTAACCTAGAAGAGCAGTTCTCAAAGTGTGGTCCGGGGAACAATGGGGGGCCCCAACAGAGTCAAAATTATCTTCATAATAATACAAACATCTTTTTGTTTTGTTTTTGTTTTTGTTTGCCTTTTTCGTGTTCATTCTCTCACGAGTGTAAGTTTTCGAGGAGATGCATGATGTATATGATGGCATTACTCCGGCAGTTAAGGAATCATATGCTTGTTATAAGGTTCCAAACATTTCTTAGTCTTAATTTCAAAGCAGTAATGATAGCTATAACTTACCTAAACAAAAACTCTTTGGGGTCTACAATAATTTCTTAAGAGTGGAAAGAGGCCCTGAGCCCAAAAAGTGTAAGAATTGCTGTACTGTCTCAGTCCAGTAGAGCAGGTAAAAGATGTCACAGAAAATTCCAATAGAGATAAATTCTACAATAATAATGTCAACCTACTATGCTTGTCTCATTGTTAATTACTTCACAGGGATGACCACTGTTCATTCCTCATGAGAACCCTATAGAGTAGATAGAATTATTTCATTTTACAGATGAGTAAGCTTAAGACACAAACAGCTCAGCTCAGAGGCAGTGGTCCTGGAAAGAATGTAAGGAAGTAGAATGGGAAAACGGTACCGTTTTAAGAAATGCCCAGCCCTAGAGGGAGCACTGGCGTTCTAATCACAGACCTGTGCTTACTAGATGTGTGACCTTGAACCACAGTTACCTTATCTATAAAACAGAGGTACTACCTCCTTCATAAGGTTGAAAATTAAATGAAGTAATCAATGTAAAGTAACAGCACAATGCCTGGCATATACTAGTAACACTCAGTAGGTGTAATTATCCTCTTCATCATCATCAGTAGATATGGTCCATGTTGAAGCATCACTGCTTCCTAGCCATGTTACCTTAGACAGGTTTCTTATGTAGATTACATTTAATTATACATTAGTAGTTCATTCTCCTCCTTACATATCATTATACATTAATGATAGGTCCCATGCATATAAGCATGTGTATATTATGTATGCCAGCAGAACCCCTATGCATTATCATGCATTAATGATATAACCCCTCCACATAAGCAAGTATATACAATTATTAATCTTGCATAAGACATTAAGTTAACCTAATCTCCAGTAATACTTAAATTGGAACGCACTTCACTTATCCAAAAAAGACCTTGATCATCAAGCTTCGAGGAAACAGCAATCCTTACAGAAACGTGTACCTCTTCTCACTCCGAGCCCGTAACACGTGAGGGTTCCTATATTAAAACTATACCTGGCATCGAGTTCTTACTGCAGGGCCATATAACTCTTTACTCCTATCCTACAAATCCTCTCAAACGGGACATCTAGAGGGACTAATGACTAATCAGCCCATGATCACACATAACTGTGGTGTCATACATTTAGTATCTTTTCATTTTTGGGGGGGGGAAGCGGTATCACTCAGCCATGACCGTAAAGGTCTAGCGTCTTCATCTGTAAGTAGGGTTAGTCCACAATAATAGCTACCCAATTAGTATTACTTCTCAGTACTTTCCCTACTCCCAACCACCACCACTAACAACTCCCTACATTACCAGCTCTTTTAATGAGGATCAGTAGGAAAAAGTACCTGGAAGGGTTTTGCAAAGTTCTTTGTAAATGTTAACTTGAAGAATCTGTTTCTAATGAAGACAGATTTAACCCCTTCTTGTCCATGAAGGGAGTTAATGTTGCAGAAATTTGCTTTTCCATTTGTCCTTAATGGAAATGGTTATGTAACCCAGTTCTGACCAATCAAACAGAAGAAGAGGTCCTTTGGGAGACATCTGGAAAACATTTTCCTCCCTGATTAAAAAAGAAGAGGAGCACCTGGGTGGCTCAGTCAGTTAAGCATCAGACTCTTGATTTCAGCTCAGATCATGATCTTGGGGTCATGAGATCAAGCCCCAGGTCATCGGGCTCCAAGTTGGGCACGAAGCCTGCTTAAGATTCTTTCCCTCTCCATCCACCCTACCCCCCCACACACACACACATGCTCCCTCTCCCTCTCTCTTTAAAAAAGAAAAAGGAGAGATGGAGAAACCTCTCTCCCTCCCGTCCCCTGCTGTCATTATTTGGGTGAGAACATAATATTTGGAATTGCCACAGCCTTCCAGGCTTCTTGTTATGGGGCACTTTGGCTACATATTCCATTACTTGCAGATAGAAACATCCCAGCTGGCACAACTGCTTTGGCCCAAAACTAGATTTAGCTGAGGTCGTAAGACTGATTTTCATGTGTGGTTTCATATGAAGGGAAATTTAGAAGAAAACTTTGCATTTTCCTATCATCAATTTCCTAGACAACTGCTCTGATGGAGAGACATCATTTATTTGGATACGGATTCATCCTGGGCAGTGCTGCTACATGAAATAGGCCAATTGTGTTATTTTAGGTGACCATATTTTACACATCTATGGCAAGATTCCAGGTTGAAAATTAGATTTGAAGACTTGGAACCACATTTATAAATTAAAAAGAAAAAAAAAAGGGTGCCTGGGTGGCTCAGTCAGTTAAGCCCAAGTCTGACTTCAGTTCAGGTCATGATCTCAGGGTCCTGGGATGGAGCCCCATGTCGGGCTCTCTGCTCAGCGGGAAGTCTGCTTCTCTCTCTCCCTCTGCCCAACCCAGCTCCTCCACTCGTGTGCTCTCTCTCTCTCTCTCTCACACACACAAATAAATAAAATCTTCAAAAAAATATATTCCTCTTGTGTAGAAGAGCATGCTAGCTAGCACTGAAAGCTTCCTGTATGGTGCATTACCATTCTAAAGAGAAATAGAGCTGATCACAGAAAAGGAAAATGTGGAGTTTATGTAAAACACCCACAACAGGGTCATAAACTAGGGAAATCTTTTTCAGTGGTCATAAAACAAATAAATTAACAAAATGCTTAAAGACAAATTCTAGAAATTTCAGGAGATTAGGGTTCTTTAGATATGAAGAAGTAAAAGTACTTAAATTAAGGATCTTGAGATGGAGAGATTATCCTGGATTATCAGGGTGGGCCTGATAATACAATACAATCACATGTACCCTTATAAAAGAGAGACAGAGGGAAATTTGACCCAGAGAGAAAAAGAGAAGCTACTGAGCCACAGAGGCAGAAACCAGTGACACAGCCACCAGCCAAGGAATGCCAGCCAGCACCAGAAACTGGAATAGGCAAGGAAGGAATTCTCCCTCTAGAGCCTCTGGAGAGAGTGCAGCTCTGTCAACACCTTGACTTCAGCCCAGCAAACACTGGTTTGGCATTTGCAGACTGCAAAGCTATGAGAAAATAAATGTTGTTCTAAGCCACCAAGTTTATGGTAATTTGTCACAATGGCCACAGGAAACTAATCTAAGGAGAAACACAGAAATACCATAAATCAACAGGAAAATTTTAGATTCGGGTAAAAAAAAAAAGAGAGAGTAAAACAGTCAATGGATGGGATAAAGAGTAAAACTATCTGAACATTTTTATTTATCACTAAGGTGAAAAACAGTAAGTAAATCAACAAGTAAACTGATTCAAAACCACCAACCTCTGCTATCATTTTAAATCTAATAGTCATCCATTAGTTTTCTGTCATCTTTTTAAATATTTCATAATTTTGAAGATGCAGACCTTAGGATTAAAGCCCCAGTGAATATGGATTTGGGGAAAAAAGACAAAATATTGTTGAGTAAGGCAGAATAATGGCCATGCTTTCAGCTCATGCACTTGGTATTGCTGTGCTTCTGCTGAAACACAAGAAAAATATAGAAATGATCCATAGGATGTATTGATTGAACTCCTACAGGACAAAAATAAATAAAAAAATTAAATAAGGCTCTCTTCTTGAAATTCTCTTCTCCCTTGGTTATACAGATACACACATATATACGTGTGTGTACATGCGTGCGTGTGTGTGTGTGTTTCATGCATTGCATGTGCATGTAACCACCACCTAAATCAACATATAGTACGATCCAGAATCCCAGCAGGCTCCCTTGTGTCATCTCTCAGTCACTGACTCCTCAAAGGTAACTGCCATTCTGAATTCTAGCACCATAAATTAATTCTACCTGGTTTTGAATTTTATGTGACTAGACTCCATATGGTATGTGCTCTTTGGCATCTGACTCCTTTCACTAAATATTGTCTGGGAAAATCATTCACGGTATGTGCAGCAACAGCTTGTGCTTTTTCATTGCTGCATACTACTTACTCCATTATATGAATTAACCACAACTTAGTTATCCACTCTACCACTGATGGACAAATAGGTTGTTTAAAGTTTGGGGATATTATGAATTATGCTCTTTAGCATGCTTCACCCCTCCCCCAAAGAAAACCCCAGTCCACAAATCACACTC